AACGTCCGGATTTGGGTCGAACCGGTGAGAATGAGCTTAGATCTGATGTGATGGCGTTCGAACCGTTGTTGAGCCGCAAGAACACCTGCAAGAACTCAACGCCGGAGGGGTTTCTGGCGTAGAGCCTCCGACGCTCAAGTCAGTATATGAGAGAGATGATGGGAGCTGCTATGAGAGCAGCAGCAGTAATGAATAGGATATGGAATGAATGGGAGTTAGGGTTTTGGGATTACCTCAGTCCTTTATATTAAAGTGTAATATTTACCTGAAGTCCCCAAAGTACCCCGGCCGACTCAATGGAAATGTCCAGAATACCCCGGTCGGTTTGCATTCTGCCCACTTCCTAGTCAGCATCTAGATCCTTCCTTAGTTTCCTTCTTATCCTTAACTCTTCTTCAATATGCTGAGGTGTGTCAAAGCTATCGGGAATCACGAACTGCAAGACTCCTTCAGTCGACTTGAGGTATTGAGTCGAGTCGACTGGATCGCACCCCACCGTTAGTGGATCCTGATACGTCTGATCGCTGTCTTGCCAGAGGTCGACTTGTTCTAGTCGACAGGTGTACGTCGACTTGGTCGGGAACCGGGCTTCTTGATTGAGTACCGTGGAACCCTACTGGCAGAGTCGACTGTGTTGACATCGACTTGGCAGCTTCGAACCGTGATGATATGAACCGTTACTCGGCAGTATGGCTATATCAAGAAGAATAAGTCACAAAATGAGAAAAACTCACATTGTCAGAAATAAAGCCAGTGAACGGATGTCGGGCTGCTTCGGATGCCTGCCACGCGCCAGAAACCCAAAACCACTTCGGCATATACCCGTGCAGCGAGTCCGAGTCCTTATAAATCAACAATTTGTCAACCCCTGGGGATATCGAGCTGTAATAATTTCCGGTCTCCCAGACTTCTTGAAGACAAAGATGGCCTTCACATCGTCACTCATGGGGTACGTCCATCCTTGTTTGCGGAACAAGACAATTAAGCCCATCAACTGGGCAAACACGGTCGGCACGAGTTGGCTGATTTCAATGTCGAGGTCACCCAAGATATCACTCAAGACGCCGGGCAGGGGAAATTGAAGGCGGAGCTTGATACTGTGGCGATAAACTCCAATACAGCCCGACGGAGGGCAATGGATGTGTTCGTCGATGTATGAAGTAAAAATCTGAACTTCGGGACCGAAAGTCGCCTTGCCCCTCAGCTGAGCCAGGTCTACGTCCCCCAGAATCGACGACGTGCTCCAGGCTGTCATCTTTGAAGGAGTCGCCCAAACACGCGGGGGCCAGCGCCAGCTCCCAGACGGAGCACAAGTCGCGGCCTCTACGGTGGCATTAGTCTTGGCATCGTCAGGGCCCACAGGGACCCGCTCTCGACCGCGGGTGACACCTTGCAGGGTCTCGTCGGCCAACCCGAGGTCAACATCTGAACCGTCCACGGAGGAACCGCCATGGACGCTCATCCCTTTCTTCCTCTCCATCTGATTGGCTAGAGTGGAGGTCGATGATCTCAACAGTAGAGAATTCAGGGGGCTCTCTCTCTCACGAACCCACTGTCGCTGCCGCCGTCGAGGTCACTCGAATGGCTGAGATCAGTGTAACCCAGAGGGGCTGTACCGTCACCGCCGCTGGGGGGAATAAACCACCATATCTCTGGCATCCTCCGTCGCACACTCCTCACTCTCACTGGAGCGATTCCCCAAAAAACCCAAAGAACTCGGCATGCCAAAAAAAAAAGGAAAGAGCGGAAAGGGAATGGAAATCACCTGAAGATTGCTGACCGCTACTTTGCACACTGCTCTGGAATCTCTCGAAAAGTCGATCAAAATCGCAAAAAGGGTAAAAGCTTCGCGAAGAAGGTGAAGGCTTGAATAAATAGATTTTATCGACCAATCAAAATGCGACGCGTGGCATATTTTTTGAAATTAAAAACCTTAATGTGTAACTGCTCAAATCGAACAGCTGCGATTAAAGCGAACTGACGGTTCCGGAGTGACCACAAGTATGCCACATGGCCTTGCAACCGCCACTTTACGAAACGATGCGACGTACAACATGGACGAATAAGATGGCGACACGTGGAAAGGTTCTGAAACGACACAACTTTCCAGGGTCGACAATAAACGTAACGGCTATATCGCATTAATTGACCAGTCGCTTCATGTCACATCATCAATGCTCGGCCGCAACAAAGAAATTCTATAAAGAAAAACAGAAGAACCGGGCTCACAAGAAAGTAAGCCGAGGTTGAGTCTAGCAAACTCGGACGTACCTAGAGAAGACGACCTCAGACGAGACGCCAGAGACCTCTTGCCCAAGCTCGTGGGCCTGTATGTTGACATTCGAGTTAGCTGAGAGAAGATTGGATGGATAATTTTATAAAAGCTGGGTCGGGAACCCGGTCCAATGGACGAAGTGCCGAGCTGGATTCCGAATAAAAGTAACTGCCGCATTCTCTTGACATCGTTCTCGAGATCGGCATTCTCGCTGCCAAAGTAAGGATGCCAACCTCACCAGGTGCCGGTCTGAAGGAAAGATCCCGAATACTTATGAGAGACATTCTGCTCAAAGAGCCGGCCTGAGAGTTTAGGGCGGCCACTCTAGAGATGAGTGCGGGGTTCGATAATAATATAAAACTGCCACTTTGAAGGTAATCATTGGTGATTGGACAAGCCGCCATAGCCTGCCACCCTACAGTCTTTAGCCTGGCGCTAAAGCATGCCAACATTAAATGTCCCTATGCTTGCATTAAATTGATAGACAATGATTAGAAAAACCTCAAATCACATTAAATAACTGTCAGAGAGGCGCCGTACTGCTCTGCGGAGCCACTGTACGACAAGACTGGTAAACAATACCTGAACAGTGCCACATTTAAGGATACTATACCCACTTCATTTATTTTGGGTTGTTGAATCCTCAACTACTCTGCCTTCTTTCTACTTTCTCTCATTAAAAATCTGTAATAATTCCTGTAACTATTCCAACTGTAAGAAAAGTGTCGACCTCAAGCCCAGAGGCCGACCTCGTAATTATATAATAAAATCGAATGAAATCGTATTTCCTCTTTATTCTCAATTCTTTACTTTTACTAAATCTTATTTTAACCGTTGATCGGATCCGTCCATCAACAAACCTGTTTTAAAAACAATCTCGTTTAAAGTCTTTAGACTAATTGAACTCTTAACTTGCTTAAGGACACTAAGTTTAATCATCTAAGGTTCAATTCTAACTCACACAATTCTACATGGCTCGTTCATGTAACATAAGCATGCACATTAAAGAGAAAATTCGATTATGCAACTATACTTAGAACCTGATCAAATCTGTCATGTGTAGCGTTTTTAAAAAATGAACAAATTTCAATACACAACTCATATTAACATGATTCAAGTCTTAGGATGACCCTAAGACATGCAGATACAAATTTAGACTTCTAAATTTTGTACGCCAAATCGCACCGCAAGAAAAGAAAAAACCCAATCGAAGAAAATCGAAATTTTGGTTTGGTGCGTTTCAGTTTTCTGTTAACCGCAACTAGAAAAATATACAAACACGAATCAAAGTTCAAACCATACAAGTTAAACATTAAGCTAAAAACACAAAATCAACGTTCACTAAATTGTTTTTTTTTTTTTAATATTTAAACTTTGAAGTTAATTAATTATAAATGTAACATCGCATAAGACTTTAAGAGTTTAAAGTAATATACTAACAACTTTATTTGACACATCAAAATTTCGATGGGATTTGATTAAAATTGCACCATTTATACTCAAAATCGAACCGCAATGAAATTTTCGCGGTTTTCCAACTCAAACCGCGATGCAAATTGAACCTTTAAAAAACCGAACATTAACCACATTGAACGCATCGACTCCGTTCGGTTTTTATTATTTCGGTGCAGTTACGCTCACCATTCAAGCATCCACAATGCTTTGGGTCTCTTTTTGCATATGTGGCAAATAGACTTAAGTCCATAATGACAAGGACAAACCCAAGCTAAAAAATCCAAAATCTATCCAATGCAAAACAAAAAAGTACTAGGTCTAGAATGCTAAACAACCAATAAAAATATAGTAATAATAATGCATACAAAAAAAATGTGTTTTGCCTATTAAAAAGAAAAAGAAAATTGTGAACAATTAATGATTATGTGGGTTTGCACTTGGGTCCAAAATAGACCAAAGTATGGACTTAGTCTCTTTTTTCTAGTGCCACATAGTTAGACTAGGTCCACTTTTAATTGCATTGTGAAATATTTTTTTATAAACTAGGTCTATTTCCTACCTGACATGTGATTTTTTTTTTAAAAGACCCAAATCATTATGGGGTTAAGGGCAAAGTTGTCTCTCCCATTATAGAACGATCCGTTTCATCGTTATTTTTGAAAAATTAGACCAACCATTACTATGAGATACTTTTGCAGTCATATGTATATATAAAGCACTAATACGTAGTATAATTTTTTCTTTCAACAAAGTTAAAAGCAAAAGAGAAAATGCAAATAAGTATATACCGAATAGACATATACAATCAATCTTTCTGACGCTCCATTTCACCCTCTCAACCAATCTCAACAAATATCTCTCCGGAAAAATTTTGCCAACCCCACAAGCTTTTAGGGTTATAATTTTTGTTTTGTGAAAGATCTCAGATCTGTCCGCATTTCATGTTCAATTGATTTTTAATTCAGGTATGAATCATATTGATTCAATCAGTTTAATTGCATTATTTCATGTGGTTTTTGTTTGAATCGCATTTTTGAAATTTAGGGATTCGATTGCATTGGTTTTTGCTTGGGCGAATTACGTTGATGGGTTGCTCTGATTTCCATTTTTTTTTTTACCTCAGAAGCGTCTGTTAGTTTAATCTGTTTTAGATTAGAAGTGACATATTTAATCAGTTTTGATGTATTGAAATTCAATTTCTGATTCTATATTATCGTTTTTTCAGTGTGGAAGAAGTAGATCTCCAAAATTGGCTCCTCAGAAGAGATCAATGCGCCACGTGGGTGGCCAGATGCAGCAGGGTAGTGCAGCGGGGGCCACCGCTCTGTACGAGAATGGTGGCCCGGCGGTATCCGGTGGAGATGCGGGGGATGCCGTCATGGCCCGCTGGCTGCAGTCTGCCGGGTTGCAGCATCTGGCCACTCCAATGGCGTCCAATGCAGTGGATCACCGCATGCTCCCTAATCTATTGATGCAGGTAAAAACCATACACCTCTGTATGTTTCTGCAAATTGATTTCCTCCTATTCCGCTGAAGTGTGTTTGTAAACCTCAAGTGTTCTGATTATATGTTTTCTTTCCAATAATGAAATGAAGAAAATACAACTTAGATATCAGATTACTGTTGGGTATTACTGGTGCTATGTGCTTCAATTGAGTTTTATATGTCTGCATGTGGTATTTTAGTGCCAAGAAATGCTTCAACTGAGAATTTTGTTGCCTCTTTCATTTTTAAGGGTACTTGTTATAGCTTTTTTTTTTTTTTTTTTTTTTTTTTTTTTTTTTTTTTTCTTATTTTTCTTTTTCTTTATCTTGGTCTTATCATTTCCTTTTGAATGGGGAGAAAGATTAATGAGAAAAGAGTTTAATATTGATTTCTCGCTGAAAAAAATATCTGAATTGATGATTAATTTGGGTGAGTTTGATGATGAGCCAAGGGCTATGGACCTCAGTCTGCAGAAGAGAAGCAGAGGCTTTTCAAACTTATGAGGAATCTCAACTTCAATGGTGAAACTGGTTCTGAGCCTTATACCCCAAGTGCCCAAAGTTCGGGTGCATTTGCTTCGTCAGAAGGATTTTATTCTCCTGAGTTTAGGGGGGATTTTGGAGCTGGACTTCTGGATCTACATTCTATGGATGACACAGAGCTACTGTCTGATGTATGTCACCCTTGATGTTGACGTTATCCCATATTATTCTCATCGGATATGAAGGTTAACCATTTATAGTTTCATATTGTTCTTCCCAGCATGTTATTACGGAGCCATTTGAGCCTTCTCCTTTCATGCCTGCTGTGAGCAAAGCTTTTGAGAGCAACTTTGATGAGGTAGCCAACAGACAGCTGAGAGGGCAAACAGACACAGAGATACCTGCTGGATCATCTGCTAATGAAAAAGAAATCAGCACGAGGGAGAACAATGTGGCTAAGATTAAAGTTGTGGTAAGCTGAGTATTAGTGTCTTTGTCAATATCTTCCAGTTGAATACTATTTGATATAGTGGTTGGGTATGCACAATGAAAATACTAGTTAAACTGTGTGTCTTTCGAGTATAGGTACGCAAGAGGCCTTTAAACAAGAAGGAAGTTTCTCGCAAAGAGGATGATATTGTGACTGTGTACGATGATGCCTATTTAACGGTCCATGAACCAAAGTTAAAGGTCTGTATATGTTTACTCTGTTAAGGTTGTTTTGTAAAAGTGTCTTTCTTTGCTTTTCTTTTTACTTTCCTGACATGGGGAACCCACTTTTGCAATTCATGCTAAAGGTCGACCTGACTGCATATGTGGAGAAACATGAATTTTGTTTTGATGCAGTTCTAGACGAGCATGTGACGAATGATGAGGTATTGTATCTATGATCAATGCCTTTTTCATATCATGTTCTATATTTTAGAATTTCAAATATTACGCACCTTGATTGAGTATTTTGGAGGGAGCCAGCAGAGCCAAGTACTAATTCAGTTTCTGCATGTCGTATCAGGTTTACCGCAACACTGTGGAGCCAATTATACCCACTATTTTTCAACGTACCAAAGCTACATGTTTTGCATATGGTCAAACAGGTATGCATCTTTTTCCCTTATTGGTTTATATTGTCAGAGAAAGCTGGTGTTAACAATGGAGACACACTGTTTTGGTGTTGCTCTGCTTTACATGGAAACCAGAATGTGAATTCTTTCTTCAGAGATTGTTGTATGGTTAATGTTATTCTCGTGATTCTAATTGCACATATTTACTTGTCAAATGTCCCCCCTTTTGTCTTCAGGAAGTGGCAAGACTTACACAATGCAGCCATTGCCTCTCAGAGCAGTAGAAGACCTTGTTAGATTGCTGCATCAGCCAGTTTATCGTAATCAAAGATTTAAGTTGTGGCTTAGCTATTTTGAGATCTATGGGGGGAAACTATTTGATCTGTTGAGCGATAGGAAGTTAGTATTCTGACTTGGTTTCTTTTATCTTTCATTGAATTTCAATCATTAATGACCTCGGAACATGTCAAGTTCATAACATGCATGTTTTATCTAATGGGAAATGACTATAATGTTGCCTTTCATATCCCAAAGTTGTTCCTTAGACATGTGAAAACAAATATAACGAAAAAGAATTTTCCCCCTTAATTTTTTATTTAATGTTTGCATCATTGTGCAGGAAATTGTGCATGAGGGAAGATGGCAGACAGCAAGTTTGTATTGTTGGATTGCAGGAGTTTGAAGTATCAGACGTGCATATTGTGAAAGAATATATTGAGAGGGGAAATGCAGCTAGAAGTACTGGCTCAACCGGGGCTAATGAAGAGTCCTCAAGATCACATGCAATTTTGCAACTGGCTGTGAAGAAGCACCCGGAGGTGAAAGAATCTAAGAGAAATAATAATAATAATAATGATGCCAATGAATCCAGGAGTGGGAAGGTTGTTGGCAAGATTTCTTTTATTGATCTTGCCGGTAGCGAGAGAGGTGCTGACACTACAGATAATGATCGACAAACGAGGTATTTCTTTAAGCTGTTCCCATAGACCATGCCTTATATCTTGCATTATACCATTGGTTTAGGCCAGACAAACTGAACTTTTCCCTCTTCTGTATTAGGTCCTTCATTTTCATTAGTTATGATATTTTTTGTGAATTGTTGTATAATTAGTTGTGGGTCAAGTGACCTTTGTACTTTATTAGTAGTATTAATGATATTTTCGGTAAATGTGTTTATAAGATTGTTCCATATCTATGAATTTGCTAAGATGGTGTTAAATGTATAATTTTCAGTATCGACAGCAGTTTAGGTGGCCTGTATTTATCCACTATATCAGTTTGAATCTCGAGCTAAACTTGCATATCTGGATAGAGGTTTGCAAATTTATTTGTTTTCATTTTCCTTATTATTTCCTTCATTGCTCTAAATTGATTGACGACATAATGAAAAAACTTGTTTGAGTTGGAAAAAGTATGAACCATTGCCTTTATCGAGTATCTGAATAATGTTATTCTGATAATATCATAATGCATGCATATCTATGTTTCATATAACCTTTAGGAGGTTTCATACAACCTTTAGGAGGGTCCATATAACCTTTACATGAAATTATTGAATGCATGTGTGCAATAATTTTCATTCTCATTAAACCACTTTGTTTTTACAGGATTGAAGGAGCCGAAATCAACAAAAGTCTATTGGCACTCAAGGAGTGTATTCGAGCGCTTGACAATGACCAGATTCACATCCCATTCCGTGGAAGCAAACTTACTGAGGTGCTTCGTGACTCTTTTGTTGGTAATTCACGGACTGTTATGATCTCTTGCATCTCCCCAAATGCTGGCTCATGTGAGCACACTCTCAATACCTTGCGATATGCCGATCGGTAAACTATTTTCCTCTTAACCTGATTCCCATTGTGCAGTTTTCCACGAATTAAGCCTGTTGAGTCAATTTTATGTGACAGGGTCAAAAGTCTTTCCAAAAGTGGAAACCCACGAAAAGATCTGGCCAATTCACTGCCACCTGTTGTTAAGGAACATTCATCATCAGCTCCGACTTTGCCGGTAACTGCTGAGTCAGATGATGCGTATGAGCAGCTTCAAGTGTCTAAAGTAGTGGATACAAGCAGAAGGCGTGCGGCTAAGGAAACTCCATCTTTTAACGATGAAAAACTTCCATCCAGTTTTTCCTCGAATCCCAACTTCAATGGCCATGAGGGAGTTGAGCTAGCCGCTGGTGGTGAAAGAGAACTTAGAAATGCTTTTAGGGCTCCTCCTAGCCAGAAGACTTTGGTGGGCAGTTATTCACAAAGTTCAACTGATGTTGAAGAGAAAATGCAGAAAGTGTCCCCACCACGACAGAAAGCTTACAGGGATGAAAAGGTTGAGAAGGCGGGAAAAAGAGATATTGACAGCTCAGATGTTATGTCGCCAAGTAGTTATAAGCAGAGGATGGCATACAGTTCTAGTACGAGTAGCACTGGCACTAAACAGTATGAACCCGAGCCGTCTCCTGATGGGAGGATGAATGAGATACTTGAGGTTAGTTTATGAACTGTTTTTTGATTAGTTCATTTGTGTTCGTGTAAAGTCTTCTATTGCATATTTATTGTGCATCTGGTTGTTTTTGTCTGTTTAGGAAGAGGAGGCTCTGATTGCAGCGCATAGAAAGGAGATTGAAGATACTATGGAGATAGTTCGTGAGGTAATAAATACTTTTCTTCTCTTGATTTGCCTCTTTGCTTGATGTCAATCATTTTTTATTGAAAAGCAACTATAGATTACTTACATACTGAGAATCTCGTTTCGAAGTAAGTGATTTGGGCCATTTGGCTGGAACAAGTTGTAGGAATTAGTTACAATCCGACAAAATAAAATAAATAAATAAATAAATAAAAGAAAAAATATGTACACTCTTGCAATCAGTTTTGCTATGAAGCCAATAGTTGGCTCTATAGTGAAACCAACCTTCTATATACAAGTAAACCATATCATATTCTCTGATTACTTAAATAAATATATTAATAATTTTATTAATATGGTATGATTTACTACTTGTATATAAAAGGTTGGCTCCACTATGGAGTCAACATGTTGGCTTCATAGCAAAACTGCTCTTTCAATACCCCCTTGACATGCTTTTCCACATTTACAAGTTGAGCCCTCAAGGACATACTTGTTAAGCTAGGACAAGCCTTGAGGAGGTGTTTCTGTGATCTAAAAATGCCTGAGGCTTTCTAGTTATGATGTTACCAAAGTTGGTTTTCTTATTTACCCTGATCGAAATGAGCAACATGCCTAAACTTCTAAGTGCAATTGTGCAAGAGATGATGACCTAAAAGGGATTACCTGTTTACTGTACATGTATGTCAGGAGATGAAACTATTAGCAGAAGTTGACCAGCCGGGCAGCCAAATTGACAATTACGTGACGCAATTGAGTTTCGTCCTCTCCCGGAAAGCTGCCAGTCTGGTCAGCCTTCAAGCCCGGCTGGCGAGGTTCCAGCATCGGCTGAAAGAGCAGGAAATTCTTAGTCGAAAGAGGGTACCCCGCTAAGAAGAAAGCAGCGACACTTTCAGTTTCAAAAGGCATTAATGCACTTTATTATTGTGTACCAAATTAACTGCTAAATATACATACAAAACTTGCAAGGCGTGAGTTTGTACTTGTGGAGCACTAAAGGCGAAGGTACAACTGTAACTGTTGAAGGAAAATTGTTATGAAACCCATGGGTTATCTGGTGTTTTCCACTTGTTATGTTGCAAATCTGGTAAGAGTTATGGGACTGCAAGCACACCGAACACAAAGATGGCTCTCTATACTTCTTGATTCTGAACGTCGTGAACAAGAATGTGTTTATAGCTAGATATTGTTGTACATTTCTTGCCTTTTTCTTTCTTTGATCGTTGGGCCTTTTCGCTTTTAGCTTTGCCCCGGTTTAGTGTTAGAATCAACCTATGTAAGAAAATTGTCTGGAAGACTGGAATGAATCCTGGTATTTTATTTCGAGTATTTGTTTCATTTGCCAGGAGTTTTAAGCACTTCATATTTTGAGATTTCATGTGGGAGTTTTTCACTTCTGGTTAATTTTTAGGTTGAATTTCTTTTACACTCCATTATATACATTATAATAATATACATGCGTTTTTTTTTTTTTTTTT